GCGGCGCTGGAGGCCCGCCGTGGAGGCCAGGACCTTCGTCTTCTTCCAGTTGATGGGCAGCCGCCTGTCCGCCAGCATCTCGACCACGCCGCTGACGAAGCTCGCGGTCGTTCGGCTGAGCGCCGCTGCCGACCCGATGCCGTGGCCTGCTATGTCGTCGATGACGTTGACGACCCTGCCGACTGGCAGCAGCGCCCTGGCCTGGAGCAGGAGGCCGTGCAGCATGAGCCTGGCCAGCGTCGTCGCGCAGGAGCAGCCCGCGATGATGGTGCCGCTGACCTCAATGGGCTCGCTGATGGCGGCGTCCGCCGAGGCGCGGCGCGGCCCAGCGTAGAGTACGCAGAGGGCCCTGAGCAGACCGACGCTGAAGCTGTTGCCCTCCGCGGCCTGGCGCAGAAGGTCATGGTCGATCCGCTCGTAGAACTTGCTGATGTCGAAGTAGACGGAGGCTGCCTCGAAGCCGAGCTGGCGGGCGAGCGCGAGCCCCAGGTTGTGGAGGTAGGCCGCCCTGTCACAGCAGGTGTTCGCGTCCTTGCCCCAGACCTCGGGGAGCGGGTGGTCCGCCTCCCACTTGGCGCAGTAGCGGCGGCGCACCCTGCTCCAGATACGCGTCCACATGCTCATGATGCCGATCGGGCGGCGGCCTCCGTCGGGCTTCCCCAGGAAGACGATCACCGTGGTGAAGAAGGCTGTGGGCTGCGGCTGCTGCTCCCAAGCCGTGAGCACCTCTGCCATCCTCTCGGCGAAGGGCCTGCCCAGGGAGAGGACCAGCCGCGGGTGGAACGCATCCCAGCCCAGAGCGGTCTGCTTCGGGAAAGATTTCGCCGCCTCGAGGATGTCGCCCGCCGTGATAGGGGGCAACTCCATGGAGCAGATCCAGTCGGCTGGTCTGGACCTGCACTCCCCGTCGGCACCTTTCCAAAGGGCCTTCCACTCAATGAGGATCTGGTCCAGGGCTTGCTGGCCAACAACTGGGAGCGGCAGGCTGTCGGGGCAGTGCGCGGTCACCGAGTCCAGCACCTGGTCACGGTCCTTTATGACTGCGTGAGCGCCCTTTGCCCCCTTCGCCAAGGCCTCGTCCACGAAGTCCTTCCAGCGCAGCCTGGCCGCCTTGGCGTCTTCTTTGCGGTGCCTCTCCGTCGTGCTCTCGATCATCTGCAGGAAGGCCTGCCCTTGCTCGGTGGGCTCCTGGATCACGTCTATCAGCGAGTCAGGCTTCGAGCCTTCGAACACGGTGCAACCCGCCTGCTCGAACTTGGGCCCCAAGCTCTTTGCCACCTGCACCAGGTGCTTGATGTAGCCGACGTGCCCCACAGGGGGTGAGCAGACCGCAGCAGCCGCCCTGAGCTGCCTGGCGGTCCTCCCGAGGCAGAGCCAGCACTTGGTGATGGGGCTGAGCTTTCTGACAGCCTCCGTGCGCTGCAGGTCCGCCAGCTTATTCTTGACTGTGCGGGGACCTTTGGCCCTGCCCTGGTACCTCTCTCCCTCGTAGATGCCGAACTGGTCGATCAGGTGGAGCTCCGCGGCCTCGAAGAACTCCTTGATCGCCGCATCGGGCGTGCCGTCTCTGTCGGTGATGGGGGCTGTCCAGCTGATCTGGGTCGCCGCCTGCAAGGATATCTCACGCTGCTCGGCCGAGACCTCCGAGCCCACCTCGAAGACCCTGGGGGTCTTGAGGACCCAGACCATGGCGTTGCTGCCCAGCTCGCTGAACGTGAGCCGCACTGGTGCGTGCGGGTTCAGTGTAGAGGGCTTGATGACCTCCACCTTCGGGCTGAGGCCGGCGAGCGCCGTGGAGATCACGAAGAAGTCGTAGAACTGGTCGCCGCAGGTGAAGGTCGTGGGCGCGACTACCACCCCGCCCACAGCCCGTGGCCACCAAGAGGCGGCGAGCACGCTGGGGTCCATATTCCAGTCGGCCCCCACTATGAACGGCTCGTGGAGGCTGAACAGGAACTCCTGGAGGTCCGATAGCAGCTCCAGGTTGTAGCCCGCCATCCTGGTCGTGTGCTCGAGGTAGGCGCTGACCACCGTAACCACGAGATCGCCGAAGGCCACCCGTCGGGCCAGGATGCGGGCACTGTGCTGGTGCCAGTCGTGGTCGATAGCCGCCACTCCCCTAGACTTTGACGTCAGCACCCCGACGCCCGCCGAGACCGCCTGGGCCGCCTGCCCCGTGCTGTGGGCGCTGCCGAAGGCAGCGCTGAAACAGTTGCGCCTGGCCCAGCTGCAGGCGTCAGTCGCCTTCTGGCTGGAGGTGAAGCGTGTCTCCTGCACCAGGATGACGTCGTCGCCTCCTCCTTCGTCCTGGATCCGCTCCAGCTCCACCTGCGTCTCTGTCCAGGTCGAGCCGTTCAGTGTGACGAAGCTGGCTCGCTTCGCTCCCACTGGCCTGATCAGCTTGGCCAGCTGGAGGGGCTTGGCCTGCGGTCGACCAGGCTGAGGCTGCGCCGCAGGCTTCACGACAGCCGCGGCGGCCGAGCGGCCGCCAGGCGGGCGGCTGCTCGCCGCCTTGGGTCTCCGAACCTCGGGGGGTCTCACGCCCTCGCCCGTAGCCTGGTCAACTTGAAATGGGTACCCACTATTCCTTATGGGCCCCTGGCTGGGCTGAGGACTGCCAGTCCTTCGGTCGGGCCCAGCCAAGTCCGCCGCAGCGCTTGGCTCTGGACTGCTGCTGAGTGCCTCGAACTTGGCGTCGTGGCGCGCGTCATCAAAGCGCCGGTCCTGGCGCAGCAGCGGCTCTCTGAAGGGAAGCCCCTCCCGGGCGTCGGCCTGCTCATTGGCCGCCAGGTAGGCGTGCAGGCCGCCTCTCGATGGCGCCGCCGCCTCGGGGCGGCTGGGCTCCGCCGCCTCTGCCTCCTCAGCCCCGACTGGGGCGGGCGGCGCCGCACCTTCGGGGCCGCCTCCTGGCAGCAGGGTGCTACCCGCAGGTCTGGCCACTGCCAGCAGCAGCGCCAGCAGCAGGTGGAGGGGCCGCCGCAGCGGCCTTCTGGTCGGCTGCGCGCTGGCGGGCCGCCTCGTCTGCCGCTCGGCTCTCCTCAGCGGCCGCTGGGGGGGGTCCAGCTCCTGGCGCAGCGCCTGCGGCTGGGGCGGCGGCGGCAGCAGGGGCGGCCGCCTGTCCTGAAGGTTGAGGCGGGGCGGCAGCACCCTGCTCGGGGGTGCCAGCGGCCTCGGCTGCTGCAGGCCCCTCCTCGGAGCGCTTGCGCTTCTTGGCCACCTCCTCCTCGATCTGGCGCTTGATGCGCTGCTGGTGCTCCTGGCAGTTGCGCTCGAACGTAGCCTGCGCGCCATGCATGATCTGGAGCCCTTCCTCGCAGAGGCGCCTGAGGGTGGCCTGCGCCTCCTCCTCCAGCTCCGCGAAGTTGTCGAACGACTCCGCGTCGAAGTTGAAGGTGAGCTGCTTCGCTCCGTCGGGCTGTGTGCCCACCACGCCAGCCGCCTGGGCCCGCTGGCGCAAGAGGGCGTTCTCCTCCTCCTTGGCCTCCGTGAGGTTGACCGCAGCCTCGTCGCGCCAGCCGCGGCACTGGGCGAGGTGGTCCTCCGCCGCCACGAGCGCATCCGCCGCCTCGTCGAGCTGGCGCTGGAGGTTGATCCGCTTCGCCGTGGCGGACTGCAGCCGCTGCTCGAGTGGCTTTGGCGCTGGGGCGGCCGCGGGCGCGACGAAGCACCGCGCGTCGCGGACCGCCTCCTGCAGCCTGGCCGCGATGGCGGGGTCCCCGCAGGCGAGGAGCGCGTCGAGCTCGCTCTCGGGCAGGGCCGACCAAGGGGCCTTCGGGAAGGCGCCTCCACCACGGCCGCCCGCGCCTCCGACGCCGCCGCCACGGGAGGCTGCACCGCCTCCGCCGCCACGGGAGGCTGCACCTCGGCCTTTGCCGCCCTTGCCGCCCTGGGCGCCATCCCTCGGTGAGCCTCCGCCGCCGCCTCCACGATGCGCGGGCGGGGAGCCGCCGCCGCCGCCATCCGCCCAGACCCCGACGCGGGGCGAAGGCTTCGAGGGCGCCAGCTCCTGCCCAATCCCACACTGCCAGCACTCCGCGTTCTTGCGGAAGTTCCAGCGGTAGCGGCAGCCCGTGCACACGACGAAGCCAGGCACGGCCTTGGGCCCCATCGCTGGAGCGGGCGGGCGTGCTGCTCAGCCGCGGGCGTGCGGCAGGCAGGAGTCGACGGGGGCGGACCCACCGACTCGGAAGAAGGCGTGACCCGCAGGTCCTGGAGGGTGCTGCGGTGGCAGCACTCGCAAGTTGGAAAGGAAGGTGGCCTCAAAGCGGAACCTCCCTCGCGCTCAGAATTCGCCCCGAAAGACTCGCGGTCGTCGGGACGGTTCATTGCCTTGAGCCAAAATGGCTACGGATTCGAGTCAGGGCATTGGATACGGAACCATTGGATAAGGAACCCAGGGTCAGGAAGCCGGGGGAGCTCCAGTTGTGGACCGGCCATGGATAGCACCGGCGCCCTCACTCGAGAGGGAACGGTCCAGTGTCTGAGGCCTCCTGGGCGCATTCCTTTGGTGGGGCGCATTCCTTTGGTGGGGCCCAGGGACACACAACTAAATACACACAAATACAAACATTCCGAATATGCGCGGAGGAGGAGGAGGAGGAGGAGGAGGAGGAGCGGGAGGAGGAGGAGGAGGAGGAGGAGGAGAGGAGGAGAAGGCGGAGGAGGAGGGAGGAGGTGGAGGAGGAGGAGGAGGAGGGGGGAGGAGGAGGAAGTGGAGAGGGAGGAGGAGGAGGAGGAAGGTGGAGGTAGGCGGAGGAGGAGGAGCAGGAGGAAGGAGGAGGAGGAGGAGGAGGGAGGAGGAGGAGGAGGAGGAGAAAGAGGGAGAGGAGGAGGAGGAGTAGGAGCAGGAGGAGGAGGAGGAGGAGGAAGAGGAGGAGGAGGAGCGCACGTACCCTAAGAGGAGGAGGAGGAGGAGGAGGAGGAGGAGGAGGAGGAGGAGGAGGAGGAGGAGGAGGAGGAGACCATCGCCTCCGCGGGAGGAGGCGGAAGGGAAGGCGATGGAGGAGAGCGCTCTGGACGTGTCGTCTGAGCGTCGCCAGGCGAAACCTTCGAATCCGTCCCTGGCGCGGGCAGCGCGCCCCTATGCATGCAGACTCCGAGGAGCCCGTGGCTGCGTCACCAGCTGCACTTCGGCCCCAGAGACGGGAGGAGCTCGAGAGAGCGAGGACAGCGCGCCCCTATGCATGCAGACTCCGAGGAGCCGGTGGCTGCGTCACCGGTGGCACTTCGGCCCCTGCGACGGGGGGAGCTCGAGAGAGCGATCCGGGGCCCCGCCGAGCCCGCGGGCCCCTTGGGAAGGCCACTCAGATCACCACCTCGTCCGCCATGGCTCGCCACTCGTCGCACCACTGCGAGACCATCTCCTCCTCGATCCTGCGCACCTCCTTCACCGCGTTGGGGTCCGCGGGGTCCTCGAAGAAGAGGTCCAGGTGATGCCCTCGAGAGCGCTGCTTGACTTTCGGTGAGAATGGGCATTACAGGGTGGCGGGGGGTGAAGGGCCAGGAGGGGTATAATGTAACGCCTCCCCCCCGCCGTGCGCACGGCGGCAGTGCCCAGAGCGCGATGGGGGGGAGGGGCGTTATGTTGTAGGGGGGGGGGGGGAGGGGTGGCTGGGCGCTATAATGCCCATTATATGCCCCAAGCAAGAAAGAAACACGCTCCTCCAAGGTCGATCAGCAGCGCGACCTGCGAGCCGTCGGCAGAGATGTTCTGGCGGAGCGGGCCCTCGACGCCGCCCCCGGGCGGGTAGACGCCGCCGCCGGACCAGGGGTCCAGGAGCCCCTGGCAAGAGGACGCCGGCTGTGCGCTGACACCAGGCCCGACCCGGCCCCGCCCTCCCGGGTCCAGGGTTCGCTCAGGCGTGTCCCCCTATACAGGGAGATTTTGGACGAAAAATAAAAAAGACCCAGAAAATAATCAAACAATAATCACAATCAGCACGGCTTGTTTTTATACATATATATATATATATAGAGAGAGAGAGAGAGACTACGTCCCCTGACGGTCATTTTTTAAACCATTTTCGGGCATTCCCCCTGTAGAGGGACAGGCCCGACTTATGAGCCCAGGGCCGGCGCGCGGGCCCTCTGGCTACGTGCCAGGAGGGCACGGGAGCGACGATCAAAGACTCGAGTGCTGGCGATCGACTGCGGAGCTGATCTACCCTTCAGTCGGGCCTGCCCCCCTGCAGGGGGATGTTGGAAGAAAAATCAAAAATACCCCCAACTGTATTCCAAAATGGTCAAACAACCATTCAAACATCGTGCCCGTACTATTTGTTTTGCTATTTTTGAATATCCCCCCTGTAGAGGGACAGGCCCGATTCAAATCTACCCCCAGAACGGACTTTCTCCTCGAACCCATGCGAAACATACGAGGCTTGGAAATGGGCACCAGCACCAACACAGGGGGCTGCCTCCACCGGGGAAGGACGATCCCAGGTTCTGGTTGCTGTGCCCATTTCCCAAGCTCGTATGTTTCGCATGGGTTCGGGAGAAAGTCCGTTACTGGGGTAGATTTGGAATCGGGCCTGTCCTCTACAGGGGGGATATTCAAAAATAGCAAAAACATAATAGATAATAATTAAATACGGGCACGATGTTTGAATGGTTGTTTGACCATTTACTATTTTTGAATACAGTTGGGGCGTTTTTTGACTTTTTTCTTCCCAACATCCCTGTAGAGGGACAGGCCCGATTCAAATCTACCCCCAGAACGGACTTTCTCCTCGAACCCATGCGAAACATACGAGGCTTGGAAATGGGCACCAGCACCAACACAGGGGGCTGCCTCCACCGGGGGAAGACGATCCCAGGTTCTGGTGCTGGTGGTAATCTGTCGGCCAGCTGGGAAGCCGGGAAATTGCCACCATCACCGAGATCGGGATCGGGATCGCCATCCCTCGTTGGCAGCACATCGCCGACATTGGTGCTGGTGTCAACCTCCAGGCCTCCAAAAACATACGCAGAATCGTCAGGAGATCTACGGAGCATCGTAGGCACGTTTCGCGGATTCTGCGGGCAAATCAACTCTGGGGCAAGTCGAGTCTGTAGTCGACCCCCTGCTCGAACCAAAGGTCCTCACGCGAGTTGGCACAGCGACCTCAACGCGGTGGCGTACGCGGGCCGCCCGCGCGGCACGCTGCTCTGGAGAGACGAGGGCCCTCCCGCGCGACCTTCCGCGGGCAGCTTGCGCGCCCGCGTCGGCCCAGACGACCCCGTCTTGTTCTGCACCGCTCACGTGCGCTGATCCTGGGCTCGGGGTCGACGTGGCCAGCGTCGGCGCTGCCGGCGATCCGGCTCTCGGGTCACACCTCGGGTCTGCGACGGCCGTTCGGGACGATTCGGGCACTCCCGGGACGCTCTCAGCGAGACGGAGCTGCTGGAGAGACTCCCGAGGCTGGAAGGCATCCAGCAGCCTAGACGAAAACATCGGCAGACCTCCGAAACGCAGATCTGCGATGTGCACACGTGTCCTGGGGGCCGTGAGAAGGCTCGCACGTCGCGCCACGCGAACCAAAAGACCCCGACCGTATGCCCCGAGCCTGGGCTCGGAGGAGGAGGAGGAGGAGGAGGAGAAGGAGGAGGAGGGGAGGAGGAGGAAAGGGGTGAGGGGGAGGGGAGGAGGGAGGAGGAGGAGGAGGATGGAGGAGGAGGAGGAGATGGAGGAGGAGGAGGCGGAGTGAGGAGGGAGGAGGGCGGGAGGAGGGGGAGGAGGAGGAGGAGGAGGGGTGGAGGTGGAGGAGGAGGAGGAGCGAGGAGGAGGAGGAGGAGGAGAGGAGGACGGAGGAGGGAGGAGAGGAGGAGGAGGAGGAGGAGGGAGGAGGAGGAGGAGGAGGAGGAGGAGGAGGAGGAGAGGGTGGAGGAGGAGGAGGAGGAGGAGGAGGAGGAGGAGGAGGAGGAGGAGGAGGAGGAGGTGGTGGGGCGGTAGGAGGAGTGGAAGAGAGGAGGAGGGAGAAGGAGGAGGAGGAGGAAGAGGAGGAGGAGGAGGAGGAGGAGAAGGAGGAGGGGGACCTGGGCTCGGGGGCGACCTGGCCACGGTCGGTGCGGGTGCACCGTCGGCGCCCTCCGGCCTGGCTCCACACGATGTTGCGGTGGTGCGCAATGTCCTGCGGCGGCACGCACACGGCGGTTGGCGCGAGGAGGGGCGGCCTTCGGCGGGTGGGCTCCGGAGACGGCGGGGACCCTGGAAGGCCTCCCCGCTTCCGAGAAGCCTCCTCAGAAGCCTCTGGGCGCTTCTGAGAAGGCCCCCGCCCTCCAGGAAGCCCCCGCGCCTCCCCAGAAGGCCACCCCCGACTCGCGCCGCCCTCGCGCGCGCCTCCGAGTCCTTCCCGCCGTAGTAGGAGGTGGCCCATCTGCTCCACGGGTCCTGCTGCCGCGGGGCTCCGGCGAGCCCCCTCCTCGGCGGGTGCTGCCGCTGGGGCGCCCCCCTGGCCCCGAGGCGCCCCCAGGAGCTCCTGCAGGAGGCCCAGGCGGCCTCCAGGAGCACCCCTCTCGAGGCCCCCGGGTACGACGAAGCCATGACGACGATCAGATCGGATGAGGGTACGGCCAGACCTGGGACACAATAACATCCTTCAAGAACACGAGGCACTCCGCCGGCCAAACTGAAGAAGGTTCGTAGGTACCCTCCCCCAGGATGCAGAAGACGATCCAACAAGCACGGAGAACATCAGGGTACCGTCCCCGAACCGATCGCGAGCGTGTTACCTCGGTCCGACAGTGAGTCGAGAACGAGGAGGGGGAGGAGCAGGAGGAGGAGGAGCAGGAGGAGGAGGAGCAGGAGGAGGAGGAGGGAGGAGGAGGCGGGAGGAGGAGGAGGGAGGAGGAGGCGATAGGAGGAGTAGGAGGGAGGAGGAGAGGAGGGAGGAGGAGGAGGAGGAGGAGGAGGAGGAGGGGGAGGAGGAGGAGGAGGAGGGGGAGGAGGAGGAGGAGGAGGAGGAGGAGGAGGAGGAGGGGGAGGAGCAGGAGGAGGGGAGCAGGAGGAGAGGAGGAGGAGGAGGAGAGGAGGAGGAGGAGGAGGAGGAGGAGGAGGAGGGAGGAGGAGGAGGAGGAGGGAGGAGGAGGAGGAGGAGGAGGAGGAGGAGGAGGAGGAGGGAGAAGGAGGAGGAGGAGGAGGAGGAGGAGGAGGAGGAGGGAGGAGGGTTACCCTCCCCGAACCGACCTCGATCTTATTGCCTCGGTCCGACCGTGAGTCGAGAATCTCTGGGCTCCGGCGGCTCTCGAGGCTGTTTCGGGTGCCGCGGCCTTCTCAGAACGCTCCAGAAAGCTCTGAGAATTATATGGACCCACAACCGCTACGTGTGCAGAAACCAAGAACATTCAAACATACTCCAAACATACTCCCATCTTAGCTGCCCCGATACGCAACACGTAACACGTAGCGTATTGATACGTAGCTCAACACGTAGACTGAGCACGTACGTTTTGAACACGGCACGTGCTACGTTTCAAAACGTGCGTATCAGGGCAGCGAAGACTCCCATAATACACTTTGCACAGCTAAGCTACATATTCTCTGAGAGCGTTGCGGAACGCTGCGGAACGGCTTTGCCCTCGTCCTGGCCCTGCCCGACTCGGGCAAGCCCAAGGAGGGTCACCACTGATCCAACTAAGCTTAGGCCGGACAGGTCCTCCTAAAGGTGGATTTCGGAAGAAAAATGGAAGGCAGTCAAGCAATACTAAAAAATAGTCAAAAACAGTCGAAGCATCGTCCCCAGCCAATGTTCAGACTATGTTTGAACATTACTCCTGCAGAGGGACCTGCCCGACTGAAACCTAGGGGGGACCGCCACTTCCTCTAGGAAGCGCCGCCTCCCCGAGAAACTGGTGCCCCAGGAACACCTCCAGAGCCCCCCCCCAAAAAAAACGGGCCCAAGCGTCTACCAAACACCTCCTCGAGCTACATGTTGCTCACATCGTGCTTCCCAGACCCCCTCGCGCTGTGAAAAAACACGACGGGAGGTTTTCCGCAATTTTCGGCCTCCAGGGGCCCTCACCGGGCCTCGGGGCCGTCCAAAGACGACTCAGGATGAAAAACCGGTCCCAGGGAAGGGGTCCAGACCTCTGGGGTCGACGTTGTGAAAAATCACGGCGGCGGAGGTCTGGGTTCAGGGCCACATCCCAGAAATCATTTCGGCCGCCCAGTAAAGTATCGAAATAGTGTATGCCCGACGCGCCAGCGATGTGTCGAAGGAGTATCGCCTCCTAGGGCCCGCCACGTGAAAACCCTCCACTTTCGGTACTTTCCTGGTGCTCGAAGTTCTTTCTGGCGATCAAGGCTAAGGTAGGTTGGACCATCATAACTCGAGCTTCGATACCGGAGCCCCGATCCTCGGAGGAACTGGTGACCCCCCTCTGCGACCCCCCCCCCATTGGCACCAGGGGGGGTCCCGAACTATGGCGCGAGACATGAGGCCCACCCTGGCGAGAAAACGTACAACCTCGCGCCTCCTCCTCCTGCTCCCCCTCTTCCTCCTCCTCCTCCTCCTCCTCCTCCTCCCTCCTCCTCCTCCTTCGTCCTCCTCCTCCTCCGCCTCCTCCTCTTCCTCCTCCTCCCGTCGGAGCCCTAGATAAGCCGAGGCCAGGACGAGGATAGTTAGAACCGAGTGAGGATAGATCGAAGTTCTCTGCGATCCAGCGGTCCCGGAGGATGTCTCGGGCGCCCCGGCCTTTTCACAGAGCGTTCCTGGAACGGACCCAAACATGCGACGTCCGGATTTGTCCCATACGGGGCCCCTGGAAGTCCCGACCATTTCCCCAGGACCAGGTTTTCGTCTTGTGGTTTTTTGACGGTCCCGAAGCCTGGCGAAGGCTCCCGGGTCCCAAGGGCCGAAAACAGCCAAAAACCTCCCGCCCTGATTTTTCTGCGACGCGATCGTGTCTGGGGATGCATCCTCGTCTCAACCACGTCCGACTATGGACCCCATCTTCCCGCACCGAAGCGGACGGACCCGGGGTGCTGCCCAGGCCCGAAGCCGGGCGAACACGTCCAGCGTGACACAGCTGCAGCGCCTCAGCTTCAGGAGGAGGAGGAGGAGGAGGAGGAGGAGGAGGAGGAGGAGGAGGAGGAGGAGGAGGAGGAGGAGGGTGGGTGGGGACCTCCCATCGCTCGGACGCCTGTCCCCCGTGCCTCGGCCTCGCGCGCGTGCCTCTTCGCAAGATGGCCGAGGGTGCTCCCCGATGGCCCTCGCCGAGAACAGGAGCGCGCGCCCGAGCGATGCCGAGGGGACGGCCAGGGACGCCTCGGGCCAGGGCCCGCCCCCGGCAGCACCCGAGGAAGTCCTGGCGCTGTCCCGCCCGCAGCCCGCGACCAGCTGCCCCTCGGGAGACCCGACGACGTCGGCCACGGTGGCGTTGCGCCGCACGCTGGGCGGCCAGTACAGGTCCCGGCCCATCCTCCGGGAGGGCGCCGGCGAAACCACCGACACCGATCCTGGGCCACGGTGGCGTTGCGCCGCGCACACCGGGCGGCCGAGGCGGGTCCCTGGTCATCCTATATAGGAGGGCGCCGACGAAGCCACCGACACCGCAGGCCCGTCGATTTCGGCCCTCGGTAGCCGTTCTCAGGCCCCCGGTTGGGCGTCGCTCAGATGCGCTCAAATGGAGGGGGGGGGGGGGGCGACACCTTCGGGGAGGGGAGGACAAGTGCACTTCTCGAGCCCTCAAGGCCCCCCCGTTTGGACCCTCGAGGGCCCCTTCTCTGCAGCCCTCGCCGCCCCCCCGTTGATCGCCCCCCCCCCACTACGCAAAGGCCATCAAATATAGACTCGGCACGGAGAATTCTCCCGGAGAAGCGCTCAGTACCCCTGGGGCCGCGGATGGAAGACATCAGATCGGCGGATGAGGACCGGCCACCCCACCGATCGAGGCCCTGGCCCATCCCTGGGCCCAGGACCGGTGCACGCGCCCGCCTGGCTGCGTCAGGGAGGCAAACAAAAACCTGGGTCCCCAGGATCTGTGCGTTAGGTTATATACTTGGCGCCCTCCGAGCATCCCGCGCGCCGCGTCGTTGTACAGCCAGATGTCGTCGTTGCATGTGATGCCGTCCCACGAGAAGGTCGGCGGCGAGCCCAGGGGGGAAGCTAGAGGGGGCATGCCTCTCACAATGCGGCGGGCTTCTAAAAAGCCCTCGGGCCTTCTGAGAAGCCTTTGCAGCGTCCTTTCGCCGAAACCCAGAGTGGCTTCTCAGAAGGCCAGGGGTTCTGAGAAGCCCCGCCGCCTTCTCAGAAGGCCTGCCACCGCCTCCTCACTCCCCCGACATCTATCCGTCGATATACTCCGTTCAGTCCGCGGGCCCAGAGGTCCTGACCCCTTCCCCAGGGCCAAATTTTCGCCCCGGATCCATGTTTTCGGCCCGGGAGCCCGATGACGGGCCCCAGAGGCCGAAGTCGAGAAAATCTGGACTGAACAAAAATCGCCTGAGATCTCACTTCGCCAACAACCGACGTCACGTCACGATTGCTTCATAGCGTCGACCCCAATAGGTCTCGGCCCACTCCCCAGGACCGATGTTTCCTCCCGAGTCGTGTTCGACGGCGGTCCCCGGGCCTGGCGAGGGCCCCCGGATGCCCGAAAACCGCCGATCCGCCGCGATCTTCTCGCGGAGCCGCCGGGAGGCCTCTCAGGGGCCGCAAGGAAGCCTCTCTTTAGACGCCCGAAATGGGCACGGAAAGAATGGGTACAAGATCCGCGGTTGGGCATCGTACCCAAGATCCGCTGTTGGGCACGAACAAGATCCGCTGTTGGGCATCGTACCCATTCTTTCCGTGCCCATTTCGGGCGTCCAGACTCTCAGGGGACGCCACGAGGCGCCTCAGGGGGCCGCCAAACAAACCTCTCGGGGGCCGCAAAGAACCGTTTCAGGGGCCGCCAGGAACCGCCTCAGGGACCGCCAAGAACCCTCTCAGGTGCTGCCAAGAGCCCTTTCGGGGGCCGCCAAAAACCCTCTAAAGGGGGTCCAGGCTCCCCCCGTGGGGCTCGCCGCCGAGAAGGTCTTGCTCACCTCGCCGCGGAAGTCGCACACGCCGGGCTCGCAGCCCGCCACGGGGCACGGCGGGCACCCCTCACAGGGCGGGCACGCGGGGCACGAGCCCTGCTCCTCGGCGGCGCCCCGCGGAGCGGCGGCGCCCTCCTCGGCCGCGTGAGGCGCCGAAGGTCGGGGATTGCCAGAGGGGTCCCGGCGTTGTCTGTTCGATCCCGGCGGGGTGGCAACTCCTCCTCCTCCTCCTCCTCCTCCTCCTCCTCCTCCTCCTCCTCCTCCTCCTCCAGTCCTTATCCTCGTATGTTTCAAAAGGTTGCTCTCGCCGTAGCGCCGCGTACAACTGGTACAAAGATGTGAGAGCTTCACGGATTGAGGGCGGGTGGTTTTCAACATGTGGCTCTCGCCATAGCGCCGCGCACATTATGTTAAAACACTTGCAACACTTTCACGGATTGAGGGCGGGTGGTTTTCAACATGTGTCTCTCGAATAGGCGTCGCGCACATTCGATAAAGCATGCAGGAGTTTCACGGATTGAGGGCGGTTCGTTATCAACATGTAAGTATCGCCTAAGCGCCGTGCACATTCGCTTTAAACATTTACAAGAATTGCACATATTCTCACTGTACGTACCAGACAATTTCGTTTGGAACGATTCAGATTTGTCAGGACGTAACAGTCACGCTGATTCGCAGTGTTGGAATCCCCGGAAAGGCATTCTGGCACAATTCAGGATGGCGAAGACGTAACAGTCAGATGAACTCGTGGCGTTGAAGTATTGAGAATGGTGTTTTGGCACGCTTCAAGATGGTCACACGGTTGTTCTGACGGGGCAACTTCCTCAGTGAAAATGACCCCCTGCAGGGGCCCATGAGGAGGGATCTTGGAGGGAGGGTGTATTTTGACATCTTTGATGAGTCTTGGGTTAACACTGGTCTTCCGAATGACTCCTCCTCATGTACCTGCTCCTCGTCCTCCTCCTCCTCCTCCTCCTCCTCTTCCTCCTCCTCCTCCTCCTCCTCCTCCTCCTCCTGCTCCTCATCCTCCTCCTGCTCCTGCTCCTCCTCCTCCTCCCTCCTCCCTCCTCCTCCTCCTCCGCTGCCACAGACCTGATGTTCCTGCCAGCTCTCGGCCTCCAGGACCCGCTCTCCGGCCCCGGGACACTCCAAAAAACAGAGGCCCGGGGACGAACAGAAGCTGCCCCGCGAGAGGCGTCCGAGGGCGCGGGTCGAAAGAAACCTCATGTCGGCGGACCCAGACCCCCTCGGGCAATGAAGAAATCATGACGGGAGGTTTTTCCTAATTGTCGGCCTCCGGGAGCCCTCACCAGGCCTCGGGACCGTCAAGAAATGACTCGGGATGAGAAACCGGTCCCGGGGAAGGGGTCGAGACGATTGGGGGTCGACGTTGCGAAAAACTCACGAGGTCGGGGGTCCGGGGATGCCAATGGCTTTTTCACACCGGGCGGCTTCGCCCGGCTTCGGGCCCACAGGTCGGAAGTTGCTGCAGAAAGACGGTGTCTATAGGGCTGCGGTCGTGATTGCTCGCGACGTCTCAATGTTTCGCGACGTCGGATCTCCCGGAAGCTGTCCCTGGCCGGTCGGCCAACCACTCTGGAGCCCCTGGGGCCCTCTGGGCCTCGCGAGGGGGTGCCCCAGAGACCGCAGGGGCTTCTGCGGGCCTCCTGGGGGCACCCTGGGCCAGGAACGCCTCTATTAAAGGGGCCCAGGGGCACACACACACACACATATATATATATATATATATATATATATATATATACATATACATATAAATATATATATACACACATATATACTAGAACCACGCGCGCGCTTCGCGCGCGCTTAGGTTCTAGCGCGGACTTCCCCGATTGTGAACGCGAGCTCGCACAGAAGAGGGACAGGCGGATCGGTCGGAGCATCATCGACAAGTCGCAGCAGCTTCAAGGATGGAGGGGCGGCTGTTTGTTTTCAAAACGTGACTATCGCCCCAGCGCCGCGTGCTTTCCGATGTCGGTGTTTGCAGCCGCTGGCAGGACCGAGGGCGGATCCTCTTCAACACGTGGTAGGCGCCCTGGCGCCGCGCCGCCTTGGGGCCCTCGTGGGCCGCCCAGGGCCCTCGTGTAAGCCTCTTCGGCTATCTTCGAGCTGTCTTGGAGACCTCTTCCTCCTCCTCGCCCCCCTCCTCCTCCTCCCACTCCAGCTCTCTCTCCTCCTGATCTTCCTCCTTCTCCTGCAGCGTGTTCCGGAAGGCTTCCGCCGGAACATGCTGTGCACAAGTGCTGTCACTGCTCCCGCCACCGTGCCCTGGGTGGTGGGTCAGAGGCCTCATGGGTGTTGGTTTGGATCTCGTGGTTGGCCTGTCGGGGACGTCGTGAAGGCAGTTTCGCAGTTTCTCGGTAGCCGTTTTGGGACCGTTGTGGGGCCTCCTCGGGGCTGTTTTGTGGCCTCTTTAGGCCTCGTTTGGGCCTCCTGGGTGCCTCTTGGGGGCCTCCTGGGGCCTCTTGGGGGCTCCTTGGGGCCTCCTGGGGCACTCTTCAAGCCGGAGGGTCGAATCTTGGAGTCGTGGTCCCCGTCTTGGGCGCATCTTGGGGCCGTCTTGGGGCTCTGTTGGGCTGTCTTGGGCGACTCTGGGGCCCTCTTGGGGCCCTCTTGGGCCGTCTTGGTGCGCTCCTGGGGGCCTATTGAGCCGTCTTGGAACGTCGGACAGCCGAAAAGGCTGAAAGGCCAAAATCGTTCGAAAAGCTTCGTATTTTTGACGATTTCGGCCTCTTGAAGCGCTCTGAAGAAGCGTCTTGAAGCGTCGTGGAGTGCCTTGGGGGGCCTTTGGGCCGTCTTGGGCCGATCTTGGGCGTCCTGGAGCGGTCTTTCGGCGACTCGGGGCCCGCTTGGGCCGTCTTGGGGCTCTCTTCGCCCGTCTTGAGCGCGTTTTGGGCCGTCTTGGGGCCCTCCAGAGCCGTCTTGAGCCCCTCTTGGAGGCCTCGTGGGCTCTCTTGGGGCGTCCGCGGGGGGCCTTTGAGCCGTCGTGGAGCGTCGGAAAACTGAGAAGGCGGGAAAAGCAAAATGTGTCCAAAACCTTCGTAAAATAAACGATTTCGGCCTCTTGAAGCGCTTTGAAGAGGCGTCTTGAAGCGTCGTGGAGTGCCTTGGGGGGCCTCTCGGGTTGTCTTGGGCCTATCTTGGGCGTCCTGGAGCGGTCTTTCGGCGACTCGGGGCCCGCTTGGGCCGTCTTGGGAACCTCTGGATGCCCTCCTGGACTATTTTGGACCTCCCCGGCCGCCCCGTCCTCCCATGGGGGGTTGGAGGCGGCGGCCTCTGAGGCCCAGGACGCGGAAACCCTGTGAAAACACAGGGAAAATGAGCCCCCGTCCCCCCATGGGGGGTGGGGGCACCTGTCCTGGGGCCCCCGGCCTC